CGTCTCGAACGACGCAGCGTCGTAACGACTTCCTGTCGAACGAAATCGTTGGAAGTTGATGGGTCTCCTGGAGTTGGTGGCCTCAAACATTGTTTCGCGAATCGTTCGTCTGACCAGTGATTTTATTTTACTGTGGATCTTCAAGTTCTTCAAAGGGAAACTTCAACAAGTGAAAAGTGAGTTCCAAAAAAAAATTTCTTTTTCAGAATTAACAAATTTTTTCGAAATGTTCACAGATGGCGTTCCTGAGGATCCTTGTTTTGCTGGTCGTCGGTGTTGCGGCTGCTGGGGCGGACTGCGGTCCCGAGGACGGCGTCTTCAAGTGTCGGGACGTTTGCGGAGAAGAGGTGCGGGACGCTGGCGGCTACGGACGTCGGGTGACGTTCGTCGGGTCGACGCTGTTTTTGGACTGCGTTCGTCAGGCGGATCTCAAGGTGAGTCTTCTCAATCTTGTTTGTTGGAATGGAAATAACAGCTTCCCTGTTTGTGCAGGAAGTGAAGCTGGTATCGCCGACGGTGTGCGTCGGGCGTCGAGTCGACATGGAGCGTGTCGTGACGCCTTGGAGGTGGTGCGAAGAGGTCGTACCACCCGAGCCAGAAGTTTCGACGGCGGCAGTTGCACCGGTGGTTGGTGAGTTTGTTTTTTGTCAACTTTTCACACAAACATAATCATTACAAAAACACAACTCACACACATAACATTATAACACATATCCGACACCTGACCAACACCAAGACAAAAATTTCCTTCACCATATTAATAAAATTTTGTATATACAGATGAGCCTCGCCTGGTGGCGCCGACGGCCAACTTGGCGGTCGTCCACGTACCGGCGAGCAAAACGCCGTTCGTGGTTCGGGCGCCGCCCTCGACGCAACAAAGCGTCGTAGTGGCCCAAGAGGTGCCACACGTCATCAGGGCACCGTCGTCGACGCCGGAGGTGACGGTCAACATCAAACATGGCGTTGCGCACGTCGAGGCGGACGTGGACCCGTGGACGGCCATGGTCCTGGTCTTTATGGGCCTTGGAGGTGCGGGAGCTACATCTTTGGCTGTGTTCTTGGTCTGGCTGGTCAAGTTCATAAGGAACAAGGTTAGCCAATTTTTCTTTTGTTTTAATAAAAAATGATTAACAATGCTTTTTGCTTTGATGCTTGCTTTGCTTTTTTGTGCATGCATTTTGAAAAACAGAGAAAGAAAAGAATTTTGAAACTAGATAAAGCTAAAGTTAAGGAATGCATTGTAGGGTCTATGCCCAATATATTTTTTAATGGGCTAGACTCTGATGATGAAGAGTTTGAAGTTTTTTCTCAGAATTATGCTGATATCAGGGCTAGATCCCCAAGAGTCTCAACATTTAGACAAGGTAAACGGTTAGCATGTAAATACAAAACAACGCATGCAATAATTTTTGATGCTTTGCTTGGGGCTTTTTCTTTTGTCTTTTCTGTGCTAGATCCCCAAGAGTGTCAACATTTAGACAAGGTAAATGATTAGCATGTAAATACAAAACAACGCATGCAATAATTTTTTATGCTTTGCTTGGGGCTTTTTCTTTTGTCTTTTCTGTACAGTCATCGTACATGAGGGAGCTGGTGCGCATGCTGACGCCGGAGGATCAGCAGGATCCGGAAGCCCAACCAGTGGAGGATCTGCTGGGGCTGGAAGAAGCGGATAAGACCGTCGAAGAAAAGAAGGAGGAACTAATGGTCCTTGAGGACAATAATCCGTTTAAAGAGATGTTGAACGCGTAAATATAAAATCGCGTTAAAAGAAAGAGAGTGCCATTTTTCGTACCCGCGTTTTTTATATGGGTAAAAGGCAATAAGAGAAATTGTAAAAAGAATTTCTGGCCTTCAATTTTCTTTTTTGTTTGTCTCTTCCAGCCGAATTTCCTTT